AATGGGTTCGTAGGTGGTGATGAAGGGCAACAGCAGGTGATAGCCTGGAGGGCATGCATGCACCCATGCACGCACACTCATGCAAGCGGACACTCATGCAAGCGGACACTCATGCAAGCGGACACACATGCAAGCGGACACACATGCAAGCGGACACTCATGCAAGCGGACACTCATGCAAGCGGACACACATGCAAGCGGACACTCATGCAAGCGGACACACATGCAAGCGGACACTCATGCAAGCGCACACACATGCAAGCGCACACACATGCAAGCGCGCACACATGCAAGCGCACACACATGCAAGCGCACACTTGCGAGAGTGCACAGGACCTCTTACAAATGCTATGCAAGCATCAACACACACGCACACACACACATATGCTCCCCAACCACACACACGCAAACACGCACACTCCCACGCACGGACGCACACACACACACACGCACGCACACACACACACACACACACACACACACACACACACACACACACACACACACACACACATGTAGATGGAACAGGATGTGTGGAATGCTTCTCTTGGAAAGACATGGCATGGGGATGCCAGTCGAAGGGCAAATGACATGGTGCCTCCCCCTCCGCTTGCTCATCCCCCCTCTCTCCCTCCCCCTCCTTCTCCCACCCCTCCCCCATCCACATCACCCCCCCCCCCCCACTTCCGCTCTCACGCTCCCCCCTCCACCCGCACCCACCTGGCTCAGTGACCTGTTTGAGCAGCGCACCGCCGCGCCAGTACACGCCCACGTGGCCCTCGGGGATCTGGTGCACCACGCCCACGTGCACGCCCGCTGCTGGCAGCACCACCTGCACACGCAGTTGAGTTAAGACTCTAGTTTAATGGACCCGTGGGACCTCACGCCCACGTGAGCGCCCGCCGCTGGCAGCACCACCTGCGCGCACAGCACAGTTGAGTTTGAGACTTCAGTTTAGAGGACCCGTGGGACCTAACGCCCACGTGGCCCTCGGGGATCTGATGCACCACGCCCACGCGCACGCCCGCCGCTGGCAGCACCACCTGCGCGCACAGTTGCCCCCGCCCATGGGTGCGGTCACGGGTGAGGCAGGGGGAAGGCAGGGGGGAGGCAGAGGGGTTAGGGAGGAGGCAGGGGGAAAGGCAGGGTGGAGGCAGGGGGAAAGGCAGGGTGGAGGCAGGGGGAAAGGCAGGGTGGAGGCCGGGGGGAAAGGCAGGGGGGAGGAAGGGGAGCGGCCGGGGGGAGGCAGGGGGGAGGCAGAGGGAGAAGAATAAAACACGGAATAAAAAGGCGTGGGTGGCGGTAACTTAAGGTGGGTCCGAGAGAAGAGCGTGTGGGGCCGCGTGCGGCCACTTGTACTGTCCGCTAGGTCTAGTCGTCGTCACGCCCTAGGCGCCATAACGATCACATCTTAGGCGATAGGTGATAAGCTTGTGTGTGTCGTACGACCTTGACGCTGTCGACTCGAAGCGCGCTAGAGATCTACGCCGCATGACACGAGACTCGGCGACGCACGCCGTGCGACTGGGGCGACATCACCGTGCGACGGACGTGCGACCAGCGTGCGACCGACTTGCGAGCAGCGTGCGAAGATCGTGCGAGCGTGGAAACAACCCACCGCGATGACGGCGACGAGGGCCATCAAGGCGACCGCAACAGCGGGATCCGACGCGCCCGCCACTGGCGGCGCGTACTGCGCGCCGTGCTGACCAGCGGGCCGCGCAGGGGGGTGCGGTGCCGCTCTATCGCCGTCCATAATTGCCCCTCGTGACAACCGCGCTTCTTATTCCGGGCAGGGCAGCAGATGTTGAACGCTGGGATGTGCCGTCCAGCCACGACACTCGACGTTGGTAATGGCAGCAGAGGTTCTTGCTCCCTGGAAAAGGTACGAGAAGTGCCCAAGACTTCAGTGGGAAATGGAGGTGAAAGAAAATGCGACGGAAAAATATGATTTCGTCATCGCTCCAACATAAGACGTGTTATATTCGACACTCCTCTGAATAAGGCTTATTTATCTAGAAACTTAACTTTCAAGGTGTCTTATAAATGTTATGAACAAAAAAAATATTGAGAAAATATCTCATTGCAAGGCTATTTATGTTAGAAACAAAAACCACAAGTATTTACTAAACGGAATTTCCAACCTTAGCAATCACTTCATGAGTCCACACTCAGTATTACTAGGGTGGCATGAATTATTCAACACAGTCGCGAGTTGTTAGCGTGGGAACAACTTGGCAGCTTTTCATGAGAGCAGGAGGTGCCCTTTTCTCAGTTAGGAACATATTCACAAAGGAATAGTCAGGAATTCAAGGGAAGGTCCAACGGGGGGTATGCAAGGATCTCTGAGCAGCGGAAGTGATGACCAGTAGAGAAATAAAAAGGGGGGTGTCAAAATATGATAATGCTTATATTGTGTAGGCTGTAGTGGGGTAGCCCATAATGGGTACAACCCAATTGGGGTTAGTACTTGTACTCAGCTCAATCTCAATGCACTCATTCTCGTTCAGTATTCTCACATGGTTTCAGAGAAGGAACTGTTCCAGGGTCACCGCCCTCTCCTGCCAAACCGTCCCACGGGTCGCGAGACTGGCTTTGGGTCCCTCCACTGTTCACATTTCTCGACTTGTCCATTCTGTAGACCCTCGCATCATGCCCACGTTATCAGGGCAAAACATCCTGATTACCCTGAATTCAGGATGCAGTTTTTAATCTACCCTGTCATTTCAGAATAGTGTAAATTTCAACCTTGAGGTCTCAGGATGTTGTTATATGAAATGCCCTGAACATTCAGAATGGCTATAGTGTTCTTCTCTGTAGCGTCAGGATGAATGCCGAGGCCTGCCCTGACGCGTTTTTTGTTAAGGGGGGGGGGGGGGGGGGGGGGGGGGTCGGGTTAGGGAATTTTTGTCTCCGCATAGCATTTATTCAAAAACACAACCATCCAGAAGTGGCCTAGTCAGTAGAAAGGTACTTTCGATGGATGAGGTCTTGGGATCGAACCGACCCCCGTGCAGGTTTGTATATATCTTCAACTTTAACTCTGTCAACCAACCAATCTGAACCCTGAACACTTGTTTCTTTGCCCTGACAGGTCAGGATTGATTTCTGAAAAAGCCCTAAACATACAAGAAGGCTTCGAAAATTTGCCCTGACAAATTAGGGCATTTTTTATGATTCTGGAAAGGTGCCCTGAGGCCTCAGGGTGCCCCAAATCCTAGCACGGGCCTTGCCTCGCATGCCGCATAAAATCATAGATTGCCGCCATCGCGACCATTTTCTGGTGAAATTTCTGCTTCCGGTACACCGCATCCTCTCTGGCCAACCAGTTCCTTCGCATCGTCACCGCTTGTCAGAATCCCAGCCACTAACCACTAGGATAAAAGGGCTTGTTTGTGTAGCGGGTGAGTGCGCCCATAACCCCCCAGGCCAACGTGCCTGTAACCCTTCCCTAGGATCAATCGGGGATCTCCAGTGGACCTCTGACACCCCCCCGCACTGGGATGCCCGAAGTGCACACACCGGGAATCGAACCCGAGACCTTCGCTCTGATACCATGTCAGAATCCCAGCCACTAACCACTGGGATAAAAGGGCTTGTTTGTGTAGCGGGTGAGTGCGCCCATAACCCCCCAGGCCAACGTGCCTGTAACCCTTCCCTAGGATCAATCGGGGATCTCCAGTGGACCTCTGACACCGCTTTCAATGTTGCGCACGGAAATCCGGATTTCGTGTCTCCTATTGAAGGAAATGGGCCCGCCCTTGCTTGAATGCAGCTGATCTCGCCGTCGACAAGAAGTTTGCGACGGATTGGTCGACGAAATGGGCTTCTGCAGTTCGACGGGAGTTGCGGTCGAGCAGACTCTGCACGACAGAATCTGGTCGACGATCTCTGCGCGTCGAGCTCCTATCGAAGAGCGTTGGTCGACGATCCTGGTTGAGGAACTCTGGTCGAAGAGTTCGGGTCGAGAAGCTCTGCCCGTCGAACGTTGGTCGACCGAGCGATGACGAGCTGATCGTTCGAAGTTGCAGAGTTGTGCAAACTCTGCGGAGGTGTGCGAACATTCGCCTAGGAGGTTTTGGCAAAGTTCTACTTACGGAATGGCATCACGTGGTCGACGATGCGCAACCACTAACCATTGGGATAAAATGACTTGTTTTGTCAGAATGTTATATTTCTCTAGTCTGCAGTTGGGTACTCTATAGTAAGTACTGCCCTGTTAGGGTTTGCTATATGTATCCCATTGTTTGCTAGTGAAATCCTCTCTTTTGCCTATTCTCTCTTGCCTAGCTTGCTAGTCCCTAGCTATGGCTCATGCATTCTAGCTACTGTTTTGACATGCTATCAGAGCGGATACGCTCCGCTGCCATACTGTCTATCGGCGCGCGGCGTTCCTTATTCTCCCCGCCACACGCTTGGGGCGCGTGGCGGTTTCCTGCCCACCGCGCGCCCCGGGCGCGCGCGGCGGTTTCGTCGCCCGTCGCGGCGTCCCCGGGGCTCGCGCGCCGCCCCCTCCCGTCGCCGTCGTGGCGCCCTGGGGACCCGCGCGTCGCCCCCCCTCCCGTCGCCCGTCGCAGCGCCCTGGGGGCTCGCGTGCCGCCCCCTCCCGTCGCCCGTCGCTGCGCCCTGGGGGCCTGCGCGTCGCCCCCCCTCCCGTCGCCCGTCGCGGCGCCCTGGGGGCCCGCGCGCCGCCCCCTCCCGTCGCTCGTCGTGGTGCCCTGGAGGCCCGCGCATTGCCCATGGCTCTGGTTAGGTTTTGAACTTCTCTTTCACGTAAGGCCAACACCCCGATTTCACTTTTTCTGTAAGTGTAGATCACAAGAACTACTCTTTCGGGTAAGGGTGCAAACAAAAAACAGTTTTTGTACAATAAAACAACTATCATAATGGATCAGTTGCTGGTGTTGTAGTCAGTTGTGGCGAGTGAATCCCTGCAGAGAACCCGAGATCGAGACCTAATGTGAGCACAAATTCGAGGGACTTTGTTATACTCGGTAAGATCTAACTCAATATCATTTGTGTTACTACACCACCTGGCTCTGAAATATCAGTGTAGTATAATGGAACATTTTTTTTTCTAAGGGTAAAAAGAACGACCACTCTGATAAAAAAGGGTGCATAGTCAAACCCAGCCTTATAGTAAGGGTCATAAGGGTGAATCACCCTGTTAACCAGAGGCCTGGCGTCGCCCCTCCTCCCATCGCCCATTGTGGCGCCCTAAGGGCCCGCGTGCCGCCCTGCCCGTCGCCCGTCGAAGCGCCCCAGGGACCCGCGCGCCGCCCCGCTTCCGCTCGCACGCCGCCCCAGCTGCTGCCCGCGTATCTTCCTCGCGCCGCGCGCGCGCCGCCTGCGTTTGGGGTATGGGGGTGGCGGGTATGGGGGTGACGGTTGTGTGAGCCGTCCCCTGCTCCTCCTCCTCCTCCTCCGTCTCCCACTGCCTCCGTCTCCCACCGCTACAGCTATCGCTGAGGGGGGTGGATGTGTGGGAGCCGAGGGAGTGGCGCTAGGGGGGTGCCGTGGGAGTGGAGCTAGGGGTGCAGCAAGGGGTGTGTGAAAGGGGTGTGGGACAGTTGGGGGAGGTTGAGCGGAGGTAGCCGTCGTGACGTCAGCAGCGCCAGTAGTCCGGGGCCCTTGCTCCGGTAGCCCAGTGAGCCAGTCGCTGCGCCAGTCGCCCGTGGGTCCGTTGCTCCTGCCGCTCGTCTTAGCCGCGGAGCCAGTTACTCCTGTAGTCCGGGGCCCTTGCTCCGGTAGCCACCGTGCGCGCCCCTCCTATTGCCCATGTGTCTGCGGCTTCACCCGTCGCCTCCTATCTCCACTCCTCTCACAGTCCCTCCTCCTCCTCACTTGCCCTTTGTGACTACCTCTAGCTTACCTTGTGCTTGTGAACTTCTAATGCGACTGTTTGTTGTGCTGATTATACCCCACTTTGACTATGGGGGTGTGTCAGAATGTTATATTTCTCTAGTCTGCAGTGGGGTACTCTATAGTGAGTACAGCCCTGTTAGGGTTTGCTATGTATCCCCTTGTTTGCTAGTGAAATCCTCTCTTTTGCCTATTCTCTCTTGCCTAGCTTGCTAAACCCTAGCTATGACTCCAGCGTTCTAGCTACTGTTTTGGCATGTTTGTATAGCGGGTGAGTGCGCCTACAACCCCCTAGGTCGACGTGCCTGTAACCCTTCCCTAGGATCAATCGGGGATCTCCAGTGGACCTTTGACACCCCCCCGCACTGGGATGCCCGAGGTGCACACACCGGGAATCGAACCCGAGACCTTTGCTCTGATACCATGTCAAAATCCCAGCCACTAACCACTGGGATAGAAGGGCTTGTTTGTGTAGCGGGTGAGTGCGCCCATAACCCCCCAGGCCGACGTGCCTGTAACCCTTCCCTAGGATCAATCGGGGATCTCCAGTGGACCTTTGACAAGCGAAACCGACGATAGGTTTTCTATCTGGCGCCCGCGCAATGTGTCTGACGGTGAAACTGCCAATCTGCACCTACTTGGTAGGTGCGCACATCTGCGCTGATAGACAACCTGCGACTGAAGCGTTGGCAGACCGCGCGCAGTGCAACGCTGGCAGACTACTCTGCTGCAGCGTTGGCAAGCCGCCCTTCTGCTGCGCTGGCAGATTTCGCCCTTGCTAGGTGTTGCATGCCATTCTATTCATATCACTCTGCATGCCTCAATTGTACTCTAACCTTTTCAATGTTATTTCAACTTCCTTAGTCGAAACTATTGTCAACCTTCAACTCTCTTTTGCAAGTAGTAAGAACTCTAGCAGAGCGCTACGATCACTCGCACAACCCCGTGCCCTCCTCCGTAGTCCAATCTCGTTGCGTAGTGACTCTCCGCAGCTCCCTCTTGGAAAAACATGTCGCCGAGCGACCTCGTCTGTTCCGCAGGGTCAATTATGCTCAGCGACTCCGGCAGCGCACCGATCACCGGCTGGATGACGAGGCAAGTGAACATGCAGTGGGCTAGGGTTTCTGGCTCCTCACAGTGTGGGCAGCAACCTTTGGGGCCCAAGAAAACCAGCCTTTATTGCACCTGCAAGTTCTTGCTATGCATCCGCAACACCACGTCTATTGCTTTGTAGGGTATCGGCAAGGAGTTTCTCCTCTGTTTCACCGACTCCTATTACAATCTGAAGTGGGACTTTAGCGAAGGTCAGAGTGAATGTAACTGACTAAGATCATAATAGCATGCATATATAGGGTTTATATAGGAAATACAAATGAATGCGAAACGACCTAGCTAGCCATGTACTCTAAAGGGTACATTCCCTTACTGCATCGAAATTGAAACCGTGCTGCGCGGAAACCAGTTTCAAACATGTTCCCGCTCTTTTGACTTCAAATGTTTCTGCCTGCGTCGGTCTTGATCAGACGGTCGGAGATGTCGCTTCGACTCTTCTGACTCCTCGACTTCGTTTTCGCTAGAGTCAGCTCCTGCAGTGTACAGGTGTCTTCTCATAAAACTTCATATCGTAACAACTCCTAGTCGATCTTTCTCTCCCAATCTTCCTCCCATTCGTGCCTCCTTCTTGACGTTGTTACCGGGCCCTCAGTATCCTACGTATCATCTTGTGCGCCGCCGGCCTCATGTCGTCCCCCACCTCGTATCAGTTTGGCGCGTGGCTCGCCCATCGCCCCTAGCACCATACCTCCTTCGCCCACGTTCTTATCGAGGAAGCTAACCGCGCCACCAGGTTTGAGCCGTCTCGGCAGTGTAAGTGGTCCGTTACCATCTTCCCTTCTTTGGAGCCTCGCACTGTCCAGTACACGAATTCTTGCGTGCGGGCCGAAACCGTGCGTACGAACTTAGCCGCTTCCGCCACTGCTTCCGCTGACTTCGGCATCGCGAGCAGTGCTTTCCACCGTGGGCCGCCCATGGGGGAACTGTACAAGAGTGAATACACCTAGTTTTTATAGGAAATTCTTCAAGAGGGGGAAAGTGCACTCTATTAGCGAGGGCCTCTAAACCGGAACATCTGTACAACGATGAGTGCGATCCAGATTGAACGTCCTTTGGGAATTTCATGAGCCAAAATGTAGCAGGTCCACATCAGCTGCTGGAGGACGTGTGATGAATCTGACGTCGATTCCAGGTCACCATGGAGCACACTTTCCTTTTCACCACTCTCAGCCATTCAAAAGCGAGCACAGTTGGCGATTGTTCTTGAATGAGTGAGTTCTCAAGGCCGCTCCTCTTTCCCGCCAATCAAAGCATTTCTCCCTCTGTTGATAGAGCTTCAAAGCGGCTTGGGGATGTGTGGATGGAGAGCGGTTGCTGAATTGATTGGGTTGGGTTCGCCACGTGAAAAGGATCGTCCAAACATTGCAATTACTCCCCTATCTTAGGGATTATATCTAAACTCACCCTGATGTGGTTGAAACTCCTTTGCCGCAACTGGTTACATCCTCCTCACTCGGGCTTGAGCGAGTGCGGGCTTGGGTCTTTCGAAGTGCTTGGGGGTGAGATGATTCATGAGCTGGAAGATGATTCATGATTGCGTTTACTTGTCTATCCTGAGTTCTTCTCCACAGTGCAGTACAAATGCGAACCCTGTGCGCAAGTTGGAGTCAAGCGTACACCCCAGTCGAGGGGAGCCAAAGGTCTTCCTCATCTCACCTCTGGTCCTGGTGTGCCGCACCAGCTCGACGCCAAAAATTGTCGGTAAATCCTGACGGTTCGAACCATCGATCCGAGGGTGGACATTTACCGCATAACTCGAACCGTCGATGCGAGGATTGACATTTACTTTGAACACGCATTTAGGGCCAGGAAAAAGCTAGGACACCCGCCCAGACCAGGGCTGGGGGAGGTTACCTCAAGTTGTGCACCTCGGGAAGCTCCAGGCCGAATGTCTAATCCCAAGGAAGGCGGCTGCTCGACTTGCAACAGGGCTCGTGATTCGTGAACGAGGTTGTCACGCGAACGTTGTTCAACCTTCCCCCCTCCATTCCAATTTCTAATGCCTCCTGCTCCATTTCTGTCACCTGACCATTCTATATCGAAGTCCTGGTAAGCGTGAATTATCAGGCGCGGATGAGCGTGTCTCACTGGCCGTGAAGTCGCACTCCGTCATGCAATGATATTCGCGCAACAGCCATGGAAACTCAAGGATTGGTCAAGCTGTGCTTACGAGTCCTGTCAGTTTCCTCTCTCCATTCAACTCCCCACCCACTCGTACTAAGCGTTTTCCTAATCTGCAGAATTTGGATAGCTTTCCGAAGCAATTTGGGCGAAAATCTGGTCAATTCGAAGTCGCATTTACCTCTCGAAACGCGTCCCGTGCTGACATCAGCATTCCTAGACATCGTGTCAGATGTCGCGACGTTCGCGCTCTTCCGGATCGCCCTCGTTATAAGCACGCTTCTCCACGAGTGGAGTCACCTCGTCGTTGCCTCCATCGTCACCTCGCGGCGCCAGACCGAAGGCCCGAGTCGCGAACCCTCGCGAAAACCACCATTATCCCGTTCAATTGACGCGGCGCCGGCCAACAGCAGGCGTCATGACGGGAAGCCGCTCGCGCGGCGCGGCAGCTGGCAGCGATCGCAGGATGGCGTCGCCATGGGGAGATCTCCCGCCAGCGACGTGGATCATGCGACGGAAGGGCCGGCGGCGCAGTCGCCGGCGATTTGGAGCGGCGAGAACATGCGAGGGAACGTGAGCAGGAGCGACTGGCTCGTATCGCTGTGCCCAATCGTGCCGCTTCCTCGAACCTTCGCACCGCACGTTGTCATTCCGGAGCTCCGTACACCGTCCTCCACGTCAGTTCACGGGGCGGCGACGGTCCCCGTGAATTACGGAGACACGGCCAGCGAGCAATTTGCCGCGCGACGTGACATTTCGAGCGAGCAAGCGACGCCGGCCTGTCGCACACTCGCAAGAGCGTCATTGACGTGCGCATCGTCATCGCCGCTGTGTCGCTCGTCGTCCGGTGAGGCGGCGATCATTCGCCACGCGGGATGGGTCTTCAGCGTCTTTCTAAGCGCGCTCGCGTGGATCGCGCTGTTTCTCCGATCCCGCTCCGCGCATTCTTCCGCGGCGCCAGATGCGCCTGCAGCAGCCGCGAGCAGCAGCGGCGCCGCGTGGCTGGTGGACGTGGCGCTGGGGGTGTCGGTGTGCGCCGTCTCGTCTCTCGCCACCGACGCGCTCCGTCTCCGCCCATTTTCCTACCCCGCGGATGATCGCGCGGACTGCGGTCTGAATGCGGCAACCGGCGGCGCCGGCGGTCCGCAGGTGGTCTGGCGGTTTTTTCTGCGGCAATTTCGGCATGATCATGGCGCAATCAGGCTCCGCGCTGCAGTGAGTGCTGTTCCGCGCGCCTTGCTGCGCGCTGCCGCCATGTGCGCACCAGTTCGCGCGCATTTGCGCCAACTCTTCACTTGCCTCTCACACTTTTTGGTTTGTTTTTTGTTTGTTTTTCAAATCCCCCACCCCTCCCCTCTCCCTCCCCTCCCCATGCCAATAATGTCTTCCTACCAAACTCCTATCTTATACCTCTTTCCCGCCCAAACCCCTCCCATTCCCCCCTCCCCCCTCCTCTCCCTCTTCCCCACCCCTCCGTCCCTCTCTACCCCCCTCCCGCCCCCCCCCCCCCCCCTCCCTCCTCCATTCCCCCCTACGCCCTCCCCGCCCCGCCTTCCCCCCTCTCCCCTTAGCGCGTGGGGGCGCGGGCGCGCGGTGGACGCGCTGGGCGTGCTGGAGCGCATGGCGGGCATCTCGTCGGAGCGCGGGGGGCAGTCGGGCGGGGTGGTGACGTTCGTGCGCACGTGGCGCGGCGACATGGCGGGCGTGCGCGTGCGCGCCAAGCCCGCCAAGCGCCAGTCGCTCTCGCACCAGGTCCGCGCGCAGAGAGGGAGAAGTAGCAGGGGGGGGGGGCGGGGTTGTATGGGGAGGGACTTATGAGTCGACGCAAAAGTCATCTCGTGCGCGCCAAGCCCGCCAAGCGCCAGTCCCTCTCGCACCAGGTCCGCGCGCAGGGGGAATAGGGGTTGAGGGGGATGGGGGGGGCAATGGGCATGGGGAAGGCGGGGGGGTGGGGAGAAGCGGATTGGGGGTAGGGTTGGAGGGGAGGTGGGGAGGGGAGGGGAGGGGGGATGGAGGAATGGGGAGAAGGGGGTGACGTGACGATGGGGGCAAGGCAAGAGAGGGTTTAGGGACATACCTATGCTGACTGGGAGAAACTGTTGAAGAGCAATAACTGTGGCTGAAAAGCGAGAGCTGTGCGTTGAACATCAGTTATCAACAATTCCCTTGACTTGAAGAACAACAACTGAAATCACTCAGTGACGATTTGCCTGCATATTTTCATCTTTTTCCCACGAGATCACACCACATCCCATCACCACCTTGCACCACACCACACCACACCACATCACAGCACGTTACGTTCTCATATCACCTCACCTCCTCATTTCTGTGCGTCGCTGCCTTCAACCCACCTATTCCCCCCCCACACTGCACCACACAGCTCATCTCCAAGTTCCGTGCTGCACTCTTCCTCAACCGCCTCTCCAACTCCCTCTCCTTCCTCCTCGCCCTCCTCCTCCGCCCCTTCACCTACCTCCTGCAAGCCCTGCGCCTCTCTGCACCGCCTCACCCCACCACAGCCCTAGTTCCTTCCCCCACAGCTGCAGCAGCAGCTGCAGCAGCAGCACAAGAGGGCAGCAGCACCGGGAAAGCAGGTGTGCGCGGCGGCGCTAACAGTGACGGCAGTGACGGCAGTGCGTCCTCTGTGCACGTGTTTCTGGGGCACACGCGGTTTGCAACGTCCAGTGTGCCATCAGTGGGGGAGACCCACCCGCACCAGTGGGTGCCGGAGAGGCGCCTGCCTATGTGGCGCGTGCACCCTGCCACGGGCGCTCTCACCTGTGCGCTTACCAACGTGGGCGTGTATGTCACTCACAACGGCGACTTTGAGTTCTGGAACCTCTTTGGCAGGTCAGTGGAGCACAGAGGAGCAGAGAAGGCAGAGCAGGGTAGAGGGAGAGAGGAGTGCAGAGGTGATTAGACTGTGCGTGTCGTGAACCGCAGGACTCCTCTTGCTGCATGTGTGCTGCGCTGTTAAGCCCAGAGGGTGTGGACGCTGGCAAGCAGTGGGAGTGCAGCGATGCTTTGTGATGGAAACACTCTGTGAGACACTTAGAGCAGAGAATCGGTGCGAGGCGAGGCAGTGAACAAAGGGGCAGGAAGGAGGTCACCTTGTATGTGCTGCGGTGGTGTGGTGCGGTACGGTGTGGTGCGGTGCGGTGTGGTGCGGTGCGCGGTGTGGTCGGTGCGGTGTGGTGCGGTGCGGTGTGGTGTGGTGCGGTGTTGTATGGTGTGGTGTGGTGTGGTGTGGTGTGGTGCGCTACTGCCTGCTGTGGCGCAATGCCCCTCCCCTGCCAACAGGGACCGCACGCACTCGGAGATGGGGCCATGGCTGGAGGTGGTGTTGGTTGGAGTGGGATCAGCCAGCGCAGTGCAACAGTGTCATGATCGCCGGCCTCATGGACCTCCTGCGTGCTTTGAGACGTCTCAAAACATTGCCTGGCGTGGCACTATGCCTATCCTTCTCCCCCTTCTATCAGGGACCGTACGCACTCGGAGATGGGGCCATGGCTGGAGGTGGTGTTGGAGTGGGACCAGCCAGCGCAGTGCGACAGTGTCATGATCGCAGGCCTCATGGACCTCCTCCGCACGCACGCCCTCTGGCTGCCCTCCATCCGCCTCGCCTTCCACCAGGTCAGCTCTCTCTTCCCTCCATCCCTCCCCCCTTGCCGCGCGCCCTCCCCCTGCCTGCCCTGCCCCACTCCTTCCACCCCGCCTCCCTGGATCTCTCATGGACCTCCTATGCACGCACGCCCTCTGGCTGCCCTCCATCCGCCTCGCCTTCCACCAGGTCAGATTAAGATCCCCTCCCCTCCCTCCCTCCTTCCCTCCCCCCTTCCCGCGCCCCTTCCCCCGCCCCTCCACTCCTTCCATCCACCTCACCTCCCCTGGGCTTCTCAAAGCACGGGGTAAGAAACATAGCCCACTCGGTGAGGTGTCCAAGCGGAATGGAAGCAGGCGATGCACTGGAGGTGGAGGGATTAGGGTCGGGTCTCGGGTTCAGGGTTTGGGGTGCTGAAAATTGAAGTCAGGGGATCTGTCCCCGTTCACCCCCTCACATGCACCTCTTTCCACCACTCCAAGCTGCTCACAACACGGATCCGCCCCGTCTTTCCCCTTCCCTTTGTCCTGGTATGAGGAAATGTCTTCGCGACCCAACCCCTCGCACGATTTCTCAAGGGCCAAGGCGGCATAGACTGAGAGGATTCGGAGTGCGTCCTTCAATGAGACGTTCTTTTAGGCTCCTTAAAACTCCCTCTCTCTCCCCTCCCCCACACACCCCAACCTCAGACCGTGGTGATGTTATAGGAAGAGGTGCTCTCGCCTGAACAACCCTCTCTCCCCCTCACCACCCTTCCCCACCACCCCACCCCCCCCTCCCCCACACACCCCACCCGCAGACGGTGGTGATGTCATACGAGGAGGTGCTGTCGCCCCAGGCCTCTCACCCCCTGCCATGCCTCGCAGACCTTGAACCCGTGGCTGCAGCAGCAGAGCGCGCCATGGCGCACGTGGTGCAGGGCATGGGTGCTGCAGGGGGAGGTGCTGCTGCTGCCAAGCCTGCCCCACGTGGTTCAGGCAAGTGGGCGCTGGCTGGATTGACATGCATGGAGGCGCAACCAAACGCATGTCGCATCACGTCATAAAACACTACTAACACGAGATTTTGGGTTTCTCTTTTGGTTTTGTTGGGCGGACACAAGCAGTAGGGGATGTACAGCGTTCAGGGTTTAGGGTTGGGGGTTTGCTGGATGTGTTTGAAAGGCTTTCAGTGATACCAACCGGATCCCCATCTCCCCTTGTGCACCCAAACTCATCAACCTCCTTCCATGCTCTCATACTTCCTGACTCTCTCACCACATCCACGTCCTTCCCCGTCTTCATCTCATCTGTCCCCATGCCACCCCTTTCCTCTGTCCCAACCTTTTCCCGCTTTCCCTCCACCAGTCACAGCACTGCGGGCGGCCATGGCAGGAAGAGAGGCGCTTCTAGAAGAAGCCATCCTCGCCGCCCTGCACGGCCGCCCCCTGCCCCGCACAACCCCCGCCTCCGCTGCTGCTGCTGGCGGCGGTGACAGTGACAGTGTGGCGGTGACTGTGGGTGCGGCTGTGGCGGAGGGAGAGGGCGAGGGAGAGGAGTCTTCAGACGAGCCAGCACTGCTGGGGAACAGCGGGGATGCGCAGGGGAGAGGGCACCAGGAGCAGCAGCAGGGGGAGGCGCAGCAGCAGGGGGAAGGGGGGGAGCTGCCGGAGTGCCTGGCGGGGCTGTCAGCGGCGCTGCTGCAGGTGTTTGTGCGACAGGCGGTGGCTAACTTCCTCGACAACGACCTCTTCTGGGCTGCCAAGAAGTTCCTAGAGAACGCCAAGGTGGGTAGAAGCAACCGGGGCGGCAGAATCTGTTTTCTGAGAGTTCTCAAAAAACAGGCGGTGGCTAACTTCCTAGACAATGACCTGTACTGGGCTGCCAAGAAGCTACTTGAGAACGCCAAGGTGGGTTAGGCAGAGCAACCGGGGTAGCATGGGCAGGGTTCCGGCTTCTGAGTCGATCTGAAACACATGTGAAGGCGGAACAAAGAAGCACCAGAAGCACTATGAGGATGCCGCGTATGTTTTTTGAGAATTCTCAAAAAGCACTATGAGGATGCCAAGGTGGGCAGGCAGGCCTAACCGAAAGCAGCATCATTGGATTGGACGGGGCGTATTTATGGAGCCTGCTTGGGGTTGTAAACACACCCTTCGTCTAACCGTCCTTGGAACCCAATCCTCTCTCTCCCCTCCCCGCCCGTCTCCTCCCACCCCTTCACAGGGCTCGTTCGGCATGACAACAGCATGCCATGACCGTGTGGTGCTAGCAGCACACAACCAGCCGCTTTTTAAACCCCTCCCACGCTCGCCCCCGCCTGTCCCCTCCCAGGGTTCGTTCGGCATGACAACAGCATGCACGGCAGACTGCAATCGAGAAGTACTGGCAGCGCGCAACCAGCCGCTGGCCCTGGGCTTCGCCCCTCACACCCACACCGTGCTCTTCTCCTCCGAGTCCCACTCCCTCCTCACCCCGCTCTCCCCCCCCGCCCCTCCCCATCCGTCCCCTCCAGGGCTCGTTCGGCATGACAACAGCATGCACGGCAGACTGTGACCGCGTTGTTCTAGCAGCGCGCAACCAGCCTCTGGCCCTGGGCTTCGCCCCCCACGCCCGCACCGTGCTCTTCTCCTCCGAGTCCCACTCCCTCCTCACCCCGCTCTCACCCGCGCCTGCTCCTGCTGCTGCTGCAAGGGGAGCAGCGGGGGGCGGCAGCAGTGGGAGGAGGATAGCATACCGTGTGGATTTGGATGAATCGGAAGGGGAGGTGATGGAGGTGGTCATGCGGGAAGGGGGGCAAGCGGGGACGCGTGCAGGAGGGCAGGGAAGTGCACATGGCACGGGTGGTGGAAGCAGGGGAGGTGCTGTAGCTGCTAATGGTGAGGTAGCGAAGGGGGGGTTGGGGGAGAACGGATTGGCTGACAGGACTGGGAATGGGGCCGGCGGGCAGGAGCAGGGGGGGCAGGGGGAGGGGGAGGAGGAGCAGGGGGGGTGTTTGGACCTCCCGGAGTTGGCGTTTGTGGGAGTGAAGCTGTACAGTATCAAGCACAACAAGCCCGTCTCCACGGTGCGCGCTTGCTTGCTCACTAGCAGTCCTCCTCATACCTACGGAGCTCACCTCACCTCACCTCACCTCACCTCACCTCGCCTCACCTCACCTCACCTCACCTCACCTCACCTCACCTCACCTCACCTCACCTCACCTCACCTCACCGCACAGCAAGCCTGTCACCACGGAGCGCACTTGTTCACTGGTCTCTGACACTCCTCACCTGCTTTCTAAGTGGCAATGGCAACAGCCAAGCTAGCAGCAAGGAGGACACACGGCTCATGAATGTTGACACAGCATGCACATATTACTCACGCCCATCTCTGATTCCATTCCATTCCATCCCATCCCATTCCATTCCATTCCATTCCATTCCATCCCATCCCATTCCATCCCATCCCATCCCATCCCATTCCATCCCATCCCATCCCATCCCATTCCATCCCATCCCATCCCATCCCATTCCATCCCATCCCATCCCATCCCATCCCATCCCATCCCATTCCATACCATCCCATCCCATTCCATTCCATTCCATTCCATTCCATTCCATTCCATTCCATTCCATTCCATTCCATTCCATCCCATCCCATTCCATCCCATCCCATCCCATCCCATTCCATCCCATCCCATCCCATCCCATTCCATCCCATCCCATCCCATCCCATTCCATCCCATCCCATCCCATCCCATCCCATCCCATCCCATCCCATCCCATCCCATGCCATCCCATCCCATCCCATCCCATGCCATCCCATTCCATTCCATTCCATTCCATTCCATTCCATTCCATTCCATTCCATTCCATTCCATTCCATTCCATCCCATCCCATTCCATCCCATCCCATCCCATCCCATTCCATCCCATCCCATCCCATCCCATTCCATCCCATCCCATCCCATCCCATTCCATCCCATCCCATCCCATCCCATTCCATCCCATCCCATCCCATCCCATTCCATCCCATCCCATCCCATCCCATCCCATCCCATCCCATCCCATCCCATCCCATCCCATCCCATCCCATGCCATCCCATCCCATCCCATCCCATTCCATTCCATTCCATTCCATTCCATTCCATTCCATTCCATTCCATTCCATTCCATTCCATTCCATTCCATTCCATTCCATTCCATTCCATTCCATTCCATTCCATCCCATTCCATTCCATTCCATCCCATGCCATCCCATGCCATCCCATGCCATCCCATGCCATCCCATGCCATCCCATGCCATCCCATGCCATCCCATGCCATCCCATGCCATCCCATGCCATCCCATGCCATCCCATGCCATCCCATGCCATCCCATGCCATCCCATTCCATTCCATTCCATTCCATTCCATTCCATTCCATTCCATTCCATTCCATTCCATTCCATTCCATTCCATTCCATTCCATTCCATTCCATTCCATTCCATTCCATTCCATTCCATTCCATTCCATTCCATCCCATCCCATCATTTCCATTCCATTCCATTCCATTCCATTCCATTCCATTCCATTCCATTCCATTCCATTCCATTCCATTCCATTCCATTCCATCCCATCCCATTCCATCCCATCCCATCCCATCCCATCCCATTCCATCCCATCCCATCCCATCCCATCCCATCCCATGCCATCCCATGCCATCCCATCCCATCCCATCCCATCCCATTCCATTCCATTCCATTCCATTCCATCCCATCCCATCCCATCCCATTCCATCCCATCCCATCCCATCCCATTCCATCCCATCCCATCCCATCCCATTCCATCCCATCCCATCCCATCCCATCCCATCCCATCCCATGCCATCCCATCCCATCCCATCCCATCCCATCCCATCCCATTCCATTCCATTCCATTCCATTCCATTCCATCCCATTCCATCCCATCCCATCCCATCCCATTCCATCCCATCCCATCCCATCCCATTCCATCCCATCCCATCCCATCCCATTCCATCCCATCCCATCCCATCCCATCCCATCCCATCCCATCCCATCCCATCCCATCCCATGCCATCCCATCCCATCCCATCCCATCCCATTCCATTCCATTCCATTCCATTCCATTCCATTCCATTCCATTCCATTCCATTCCATTCCATTCCATTCCATTCCATCCTGCCACTAAACCACCACTACACCCTCACTATTGTTCCTGCGTCCGTTCCGCACCCTCCTCCCCGTCTCCACCGCAGCCCATCCCACAGGCGCAGTTCCAACAGCGCAAGCGCCTCATCCCAGTGACCAACAACCCCTTCCCTGGAGGCACCACTACACCCCTTCCCCCCTGATTATCCCTTTCCTCTTTCACTCTCGCCCCGCATATCACTGCCACCACACGCCCATCCCACAGGCGCAGTTCCGGCAGCGCAAGAGGCTCATCCCAGTGACCAACAACCCCTTCCTCGCAGCAGACGACGAGGACACACCCACTGACGACCCGCATGCTGCCTGGGGCCCTGCTGCCCTCTGCTCCGCAGCCCCGTCTCCCCCCCGTGACCTCGTGGAGGCAGACCTGCGGGTGGGTACTCCTCCCTTCTCCTCCCGTCTCCTCTCTCCTGTCTTCTCTGAATATACTCCGCTGTCATGCCTCCCCGTCTTCCCCCCGTGACCTCGTGGAAGCAGACCTGCGGGTAATGCTGCTCCCTAATCTTCCCTCCGTTTATTTATATGCCTCAAAATGTACTCTGCTGCGATGCCACCCCGTCTCCTCCCCGTGACCTTGTGGAAGCAGACCTGCGGGTACTCTCTCCTCCCTCCTCCCTCCTCCGTCCTTCCTCCCTCTCCGTTTTTCGCTGCTCCCTCCATCCCTCCCGCTCCCACCATCCCACTCATTCCCACGATCCCGTTAGCTTCCTGTATCTGTCTCGTCTTGGCTGCAAGCACTCCCACCTCCACTTTCAACCATCTCCTTTGGTTTCGTGCTCTTGATTTGATCACTGCTCTTTTTCTGCCCCACATGGTCTATTGCGCCCCTGCCCTGCCCTTCCCTGCCCTGCCCTGCTCCGCCCTACCATTTCCTGCCTTCCTGGCCCTCCCCTGTTCTATCCTGCCCTGCCCAACCTGGCTTTACTCTCTCCCCTACCCTGCCCCGCCCTGCCTTCGTTATCTCCCGCACTCCTTCCCCGCCCCACCCCCCAGGCCATACCACGTGTGCTGGAAGCCATAAGGGCGCATTGGGAGGACCCGCGCTCGCTCAACCGGCACACAGCAGCAGCGCTGGTGGCCATGCTGCAGGCCAAGGCCATGCACTATTCCATTCCAATGCCCCTTCTGCCTCACACCCTCTAATGCGCCTCCGCCCTGCCCTACCCTCTCGTTGTCTCCCCCCCATCCCCCTGCCCCTCCCCCCCTCCTCCCCTCACTTCTCCCCAACCCGACCTCTCCCCCCACCCCTGCCCCACCCGCTCCAGGCCATACCACGTGTGCTGGAAGCCATAAGAGCGGACTGGGAGGACCCGCGCTCGCTGAACCGGCGCACAGCAGCAGCGCTGGTGGCCATGCTGCAGGCCAAGGCGGAGGCAGCGGTGGCAGCGGGGGAGGCGGCGGGGGGCATGAGTCGCAAGGAGATAGACGTGCTCGTCACGGGCGTCGAGACGTCGCTCTGGGTGGGCGAGCAGTTCGCTGCCGACCTGCAGAACTGTACGCCTGCTCTCGTCTCGCTCCTCGCTCCTTGCTCCATGCTCCTTGCTCCTCACTCCTTGCTTGCTTGTTCCTACTTCCTCCTTCTTGCTTCTCCTCGCCCCTGACCTTTGAGTTGTCTTGAAAGTCGCTCTGGGTGGGCGAGCAGTTCGCTGCTGACCTGCAGAACTGTACGCCTGCTTGCCTTCCCTTGCTCTTCCTCCCATTGCTACCTCCGCACGCCTGTCCCACCCACGTTGCCTCGCCTGGCTTCATAACCGTACACTCTCTGGCCTCGCACTTGCTCGTTCTGCTTGTAGTTTGTCTCTTTGTTTGTTTGTTTGTTTGTTTGTTTGTTTGTTTGTTTGTCTCTTTGTTTGTTTATTTGTCTCTTTGTTTGTTTGTTTGTTTGTTTGTTTTTTTTGTTTGTTTGTCTCTTTGTTTGTTTGTTTGTTTGTTTGTTTGTTTGTTTGTTTGTCTCTTTGTTTGTTTGTTTGTCTCTTTGTTTGTTTGTTTGTTTGTTTGTTTGTTTGTTTGTTTGTATTGTTGCTCAATTGATTCATTTCTCGATGCTGTTGGTCCACTCTCAGACTTTGCCGCCCAACCCTACCCCCTCCCCCACGCCGCAACGCTCTTCTCTTGCCCCCTCCCCCGTCCCTCACAACTGCAGGTTTCCCACAGCTGCGAGTGGTGGCAGTGAGCGCCAACAAGGTGATAGGCGTCATGGGCAACGCGAGGGGCGCCATCAGCACAGCAGGCTTCGCGCTCTCGCGCCTCGGCGCAGCACTCCCAACGCGCCAAGCCATCGTGCTCGCGCTCAGCCAGTCAGGCCAAACCTTCCCCACGCTGCACGCCACACGCATCCTTGCCAAGCACTGCCCTGGTCGAGTTTTCGTCTGCACCGGCATGCTCGACTGTAAGATGGCCACGGCTGTTGGGCTTTCCCTCGCTGCTGCCGCGTCTGCTGCGGGCGGCAGCGGCGACGGCGGCGCGTGGTGTGCGCGTGTGTTCCACACGCACGCGGGGTGGCGGTCTGCTGAGCCGGCAACGGTATCAGCAGTGGCGTGCCATGCGACGCTTACAGAGCTGCTGCTGCACGCGGCGAGGACTCTCAGGAGCAACGCGGATTCCGCCAAGCTTGCTACGGAGCTCGGCGCACAGACTGCCACTGGCGTAGGCGGCGCAGGTGGGGGCACAGGCGGGGGCACAGGCGGGGTCACAGGGGGAGCAGCAGGGGGAGCAGCAGGGGGAGTCGCAGGCGGCGGGGGAGGTGTGGGAGGGGGGAGTGATGCGGGGAGCCTGCGGCGGTGGGTGGAGCGGCCGCTGGGGCTGCGGTTGAGTGCGGGCGATGTGGCGGACTTGGAGCGCATGCGCGATGCCGTGGTGATGAAGGGCGCGCCTGACATTGTCGGGTGGACGCCCCGAGGCCACCGCGTGCACTCCCCTGTTAACTCCGCTCTCCGGATGCAGGGGCTCCTGGTAAGTGGGCGCAGGGGGGTGTTGTGGGGGGTGTTGTGGGCGCAGGGGGTTGTGGTGGGTGCAGGGGGTTGTGGTGGGTGCAGGGGGGCATGGTGGGTGCAGGGGGGCATGGTGGGTGCGGTTCAGGGGGAAATGATGGGTGCAGGGGGGAATGGTGGGTGTGTACTTTGATTACCCAATCGTGCAATTGTATCAACTCATTATCGCCCGTGATGCAACCTCCCCTCCCCCCCAACTCGTTTCTCCCCATGCATCTCATTGGGCGCTGCATGTGCGGGCAGAAGGCACCCATGGGCCATGGCATGGCCCATCAGTGCACTCTACATCCAAGGACGCACCTGACCTAGCTACAACAACCCTTTCCCCTTTCCCCTTCCCCCTTCCCCCTTCCCCCTTCCCCCTTCCCCCTTCCCCCTTCCCCTCTCTGTCCCCCCTCGCAGTGGGCGCTGCACGTGCTGGAGACGCGCATAGCATGGGCCATCAGCGCGCTCTACATCCAACCAACGACACACCTAACCAACGCCACACCTGACCTATTTACGGCAATTCCTCCTCGTCCCCTCCTTGTCACACCCCTCGTCCTCCCCTTGCCCCCCCTTCGCAGTGGGCGCTGCACGTGCTGGAGACGCCCATAGCATGGGCCATCAGCGCGCTCTACATCTTCATAGCTGTCGTCTTCGCCGTGCCCATCTTCACCTCCATCGCCAAGGCCATCCCCACGCACAGTGAGCTCCCTTCCCCTCCCCCAATGTTGGTGCTCATCTTCCGTTCCCGCAAGACGGGATGGGCACCCAGACAACATTTCTTTGGTCTTCGCCGTGCCCATCTTCACCTCCATCGCCAAGACCATCCCCACGCACAGTGAGCCGTGTCACGTCACGCTCGCACCACTCCCAGTGTGTGCGAGCCGTTCTGCCTCTGTTGCGCCTGCACCACGCACGTTCACGTGCGTGTGACACCACTCACACACCATTCACAACCGAACTGCAGTGTTCCTCCGCTCTGCTCCAGTGGATCTCACTCACATCAACTATATGCCTCTAACATGTCCTAACTTTCCACCCACTTTGTGCCTCCTCTCGCCCTCCTCTTAACCCGCCATTCTGCCCATTCAATTTCTGCCCCTTTTCAATCCCACCTTCCCCCCATAACCCACCCCTCTCAACTCCCCCACTCCACCTCCCTCCCCCTCTAGGCACCACAACAGCAGACGCACTACTCTACACAGCCCGCGCACTCTATGCCCTGCTCTTCTCCTTCCTCCTGCTCATCGCCTCTCTGCCTCACCTTCCCTCCATTCCCCCCCCCCCTCCAGGCACCACAGCAGCGGACGCACTACTCTACACCGCCCGCGCACTCGACGCACTGCTCTTCTCCTTCCTCCCACTCATCATCGCCCTCCCCCTCCGCATCCTCACCGGTCGCGACCTCCTAGCCCGTCTCGGCAAGCGCACAGTCGTCATAGCCGACGTGCCCTGGGTGCACCAATCCCTCGAAGTCTACGTGTCCAAGCTCTTTGCCCTCAGCTACTGGGTGGCTGGACTGGACGTGCATGGGGCCAGTCCCATAGACCACCTGGTGCATAGGTTTACGCACAGAGTGTGTCGCGGCACGCTGCTCGCGTTTGGGAGGCCGGACGGGCGGCTGTGCTCGCAGTCGCGGTGTGAGAGCTGGGTGCTCATGGCACTGCTGCAGGCGCGCACTATTGTCAGCCTGGGCTGCGGCGCTGAAGTTATTACCGTTGGTGCGTATCTTGGGGGGAGGGAAGAGGAAAAGGGGATGGAGGGAGGTTGGAGTGGTGGCAACGGGGATTGCCGTGGTTTGGTATGCTAGGTCGTCTTACCCCTGGGAGTCTCTTGAGTCGACTCACAGCCACCGCGGCCTGATGCGACGGGCGGCTGTGCTCGCAGTTGCGTTGTGAGAGCTGGGTGCTCATGGCGCTGCTGCAGGCACGGACTATTGTCAGCCTGGGCTGCGGCGCTGAGGTCATCACTGTTGGTGCGTATGTGGGAAAAGGGATGGGTGAAAGGGGGAAGGGAATGAGGGAGTAGTGGGAGCGGGGGTTGCCGTGATTCTTTTTGCTAGGTCGTCTTACCCCTGGGTGTCTCTTGAGTCCACTCAAATTCACCATGCCCGGTTGTGAGTTTGTGCTACGGGAAATGGGGATGATGAGGAGGAAGGGGGGGGGGGATTATGACAAGAGGGGGTGAGGGGAGGGGGAAGAGTATGAGGAGGTTGAAACTTTTTAGTATGGTACTTGTGCTAAATCGCCTCACTATCTCGCTTCCCTTATTCTGTGGTCCACACCTTGTGCAAAGCTATTTATGTCTCGCTTCCCTCGCTTACCTTTACCTTTAATACCTCCGCATGCCTCTTCCCCTCCTCCCCTCCTTCCCCCTCCCCACCCCTTAACCCCCACTCTTCCTCCCCTTCCACCCCGAATTCCCCCACCCTCGCCACCCCCGCTCCCTTCCCCCCCCACTCTCTTCCCCCTCCGCTTCCTTTCCCCCTCCCCCGTCCAGGCCACAACCCGTACCACGCGCGGTCGCTGGTGAAGCGGCATGTGGTGCTGCCATCCAACCGCCCTTCTCTCCCACTTTCGCCAATTCTCTCCTTCCCCTCTCCCCTCTCCTTCCCCACCCACCCCTTCCCTCCCCTTCCCTCGGCCCTTCCCTCTCCCCCCCCCCCCCACACCCCCTCTTTCGCTTCCTCCCCCCCCACACCCCGCCCCTCTTCCTATTCCCCCACGCCCCCACCGCTCAGGTCACAACCCGTACCACGCGCGGTCGCTGGTGAAGCGGCACGTGGTGCTGCCGTCCAACCACATCTGTACCACCCCCTCCTTTCCTCCCCTTCACCCCCCTCCGCCCCCCCCCCCCTCCCCCCTCCCCTCCTTTTCTCTCCTTTCCCCCCGCCCCTCCCGTCCAGGCCACAACCCATACCACGCGCGGTCGCTGGTGAAGCGGCACGTGGTGCTGCCGTCCAACCGCCCCAAGTTCCTGTGCGAGAAGCTGCTGGGCGTTGATGACCTCGAACCCGTGCGTGCAGGGCACATGGGGTGGGGGGGGGAGAGGGGACGAGGGGGGAGGGCAGAGTATAGGGCGGGAGGGCAGGGCAGGGAAGGGGAGGGGAGGGGTGGCAGGGCTGGGCAGGGCGAGGCAGGGCCGGGCACTGGGATGCACTGGGATGCACTGGGATGCACCGGAGCCTTGTGAACGGTGTGGGTTGTTGTCTCCTGAAGGAGTGCTGGTGCTGATGCATGCTAGGACGTGACTCCTCGTCATGCTTTCCCTTCCTCTATCTCCCCCCCCACTCCCCCCCAACCCCCTCTCTTCCCAAACCCCCTTTCCACTCCGAATCTGTGCTGCCTTCTCCCGTCATTGGGCATCAGGTGAAGCGCTGCGCTGGCAGGCAAGGAGGGAGCACATTAGAGAAATCTCAAAAGTGACTCCCAAACGGCAGGCAAGGAGAGAGCACATAGGAGTCGACTCATACGCCACCTTGTCTTTGCCCTTCCTTTCCTCCATTCGCTCCCTCGTACCTCTGTAATCCACCCCCTTGTTGGGGCATCAGATGAAGCGCATGGCAACGAGGGAGCACGTGGTGTCCACAACAAGCGGCAAGAACCCCTTTGAGGCGCTCGACTCTCAGGTACGCTGCACCACACCCGCTAGCACTCCCACCAGCACTCCCACCAGCACTCCCACCAGCACTCCCACCAGCACTCCCACCAGCACTCCCACCAGCACTCCCACCAGCACTCCCACCAGCACTCCCACCAGCACTCCCACCAGCACTCCCACCAGCACACCCGCCAGCACTCCCACCAGCACTCCCACCAGCACTCCAACCAGCACTCCCACCAGCACTCCCACCAGCACTCCCACCAGCACTCCCACCAGCACACCCGCCAGCACACCCGCCAGCACACCCGCCAGCACACCCGCCAGCACACCCGCCAGCACACCCGCCAGCACACCCGCCAGCACACCCGCCAGCACACTAGCCACAGTGCTGCCATTGCATCAATGCGTGCGCACGCCTCCACGCCACCACCTCACATCCACCACACAGCCCCACATGCGCACCCTCCCCTCCCCCCCCGACCCCCCATCCCACCTGCGCTCCCTTTGCCAAGCGCGCCCGTTGGCTGTGCCGTGCCCCATCAGTCGCTCACCTCACCTACTTTTTGAGAATTCTAAAAGTACACTACCTACTTCTTCCCTCCCTGCTGCTTTGGCACAGCATTTGTGAAACTCCCTCCTCTTCCACCATCAACCCGCACTTCCTTCCCTCCCCCTCCCCCCCCCAATGGCTGTGGCGTGCAGGTGGTGGGGCTGCATTTGTGCGACGAGGGCACGGTGCAACGAGCCAGAAAGCTCGGGGTGAGTGTTGCCATGGCGGAGCGAGGGATGGGGTGGAGGAGCATGGGTGGGTGGTGCGGGGATGGTGGAAGGAGTGGGATGGGGTGCAAGGAGTGGGATGGGGTGCAAGGAGTGGGATGGGGTGCAAGGAGTGGGATGGGGTTTGAACGGGGTGAGATGGCAGAAAGAGTGGTGGGGGAGCAGTTTAGGGTGGCAGCGGTGCTTGGGCTTCCTCGCGTGCATGTGATGTGACACATTCGTGCATGTGATGTGACACATTCGTGCATGTGATGTGACACATTCGTGCATGTGATGTGACACATTCGTGCATGTGATGTGACACATTCGTGCATGTGATGTGACACATTCGTGCATGTGATGTGACACATTCGTGCATGTGATGTGACACATTCGTGCATGTGATGTGACACATTCGTGCATGTGATGTGACACATTCGTGCATGTGATGTGACACATTCGTGCATGTGATGTGACACATTCGTGCATGTGATGTGACACATTCGTGCATGTGATGTGACACATTCGTGCATGTGATGTGACACATTCGTGCATGTGATGTGACACATTCGTGCATGTGATGTGACACATTCGTGCATGTGATGTGACACATTCGTGCATGTGATGTGACACATTCGTGCATGTGATGTGACACATTCGTGCATGTGATGTGACACATTCGTGCATGTGATGTGACACATTCGTGCATGTGATGTGACACATTCGTGCATGTGATGTGACACATTCGTGCATGTGATGTGACACATTCGTGCATGTGATGTGACACATTCGTGCATGTGATGTGACACATTCGTGCATGTGATGTGACACATTCGTGCATGTGATGTGACACATTCGTGCATGTGATGTGACACATTCGTGCATGTGATGTGACACATTCGTGCATGTGATGTGACACATTCGTGCATGTGATGTGACACATTCGTGCATGTGATGTGACACATTCGTGCATGTGATGTGACACATTCGTGCATGTGATGTGACACATTCGTGCATGTGATGTGACACATTCGTGCATGTGATGTGACACATTCGTGCATGTGATGTGACACATTCGTGCATGTGATGTGACACATTCGTGCATGTGATGTGACACATTCGTGCATGTGATGTGACACATTCGTGCATGTGATGTGACACATTCGTGCATGTGATGTGACACATTCGTGCATGTGATGTGACACATTCGTGCATGTGATGTGACACATTCGTGCATGTGATGTGACACATTCGTGCATGTGATGTGACACATTCGTGCATGTGATGTGACACATTCGTGCATGTGATGTGACACATTCGTGCATGTGATGTGACACATTCGTGCATGTGATGTGACACATTCGTGCATGTGATGTGACACATTCGTGCATGTGATGTGACACATTCGTGCATGTGATGTGACACATTCGTGCATGTGATGTGACACATTCGTGCATGTGATGTGACACATTCGTGCATGTGATGTGACACATTCGTGCATGTGATGTGACACATTCGTGCATGTGATGTGACACATTCGTGCATGTGATGTGACACATTCGTGCATGTGATGTGACACATTCGTGCATGTGATGTGACACATTCGTGCATGTGATGTGACACATTCGTGCATGTGATGTGACACATTCGTGCATGTGATGTGACACATTCGTGCATGTGATGTGACACATTCGTGCATGTGATGTGACACATTCGTGCATGTGATGTGACACATTCGTGCATGTGATGTGACACATTCGTGCATGTGATGTGACACATTCGTGCATGTGATGTGACACATTCGTGCATGTGATGTGACACATTCGTGCATGTGATGTGACACATTCGTGCATGTGATGTGACACATTCGTGCATGTGATGTGACACATTCGTGCATGTGATGTGACACATTCGTGCATGTGATGTGACACATTCGTGCATGTGATGTGACACATTCGTGCATGTGATGTGACACATTCGTGCATGTGATGTGACACATTCGTGCATGTGATGTGACACATTCGTGCATGTGATGTGACACATTCGTGCATGTGATGTGACACATTCGTGCATGTGATGTGACACATTCGTGCATGTGATGTGACACATTCGTGCATGTGATGTGACACATTCGTGCCACCATTCCAGTAGATCAGCTGCTGCCACATCTTCCCCCACTCGCTCAACAACCTTTCACCCTCTCACTCCTTTTGAATCGACTCAAAAGTCACCTCTGTAGTCACATCTTTCCCCACTCAGTCAACACCCTTTCACCCTCTTGCTCCTCTAAATCGTCCCCCATTTGACCCCACACCCCTGTACCCAACCCCTCTCCCCAACTCCTCCTCCCACCCCCTATGCTCAACCCTTCTCCCCAACCCTTCTCCCCAACCCTTCTCCCCAACCCTTCTCCCCAACCCTTCTCCCCAACCCTTCTCCCCAACCCTTCTCCCCAACCCTTCTCTCCAACTCTCTCTCCACCCCCTCTTCCCACCCGCTCTCCCCTCTCCCAGCTATCCATGCTAGCTAGCGCACGGCATGAGGGACATCAGCACAGCAGACGCGACCTTTGAGTCAACTTAATCAATCCCCCTTCCGCCCCTCCCCTCCTCCCCCCTGCCTCCTCACCCACCCCCAGCTGTCCATGCTCGCGCACGGCATGAGGGACATCAGCACAGCAGACGCGTTGAGTTGACTACCCTTCTTTCCCCCTCCCTCCATTCCCTCCCCCCCTCAACCCCCAACCACAGCTGTCCATGCTAGCGCACGGCATGAGGGACATCAGCACAGCAGACGCGGAGGACCCAGGGAACCGCGAGGCGATTCTGAGCGCGCTGGGGGGGGACGTGAACAGCCTGCTGCACTCGCAGGCGCCCATCGAGGACATCTGTGAAAACCGCTTCCTCTCCCTCGAACGCCTCATCGCCTTCCACGTACTGCCCTGCCCTCAGCTCCTGGCTGCCCTCTCTTTTCAGCCACTCAAGGCTGTGCTTCCCTTACCCACCCTCGTTACCCACCTTATTTTCACTCCGTTCTTCGGCTCTCAATCCTGCATCTCATCTCACAACCATTATGCTTCCTGGCGTCCTCTCTCCGTTCATCCTTTATTCGTCTGTCTCGGCTTGATCACCCATCTCTTGTGTTTCTCTCCTTCGGCGTCCCCATCCCCAGACACCCCTCACACCATCGCAATCCCATGGCACAAGTGTTGTCCCACCGTATGGCATCAGTAGTGGCACCGCTACCACCTCTGCGCTTCAACATTGCATAGTCACACTTCCATTCCCACTCACACACACACACCTTATGTTGGCCTCCCTGCGCCCTGCTTCTGTGCCCCACCTTTCCTCCCCTGCTCGCCCCACGCCCCTGAACCACACATGTTCTCTTTCACCGCATGGCATCAGTGGTAGCATCTCTACACCCCCTGCACTTCAACATCTCTCAGTCACAGTCACATTCCCACTCATGCCGCACCTCATGTCTCCCTCCCCTGCTCGCCTCCACACCCCTGAACCTCACAGGTGCTCTTTCACCGCATGGCATCAGTAGTGGCGTCTCTACCCCCCCTGCGCTTCAACATCGCTCAGTCGCAGTCGCGCCTGCGCATCGCCACCACCGCCGCGCCCATCTCCGCAGCAGACCTCGAGAGGGAGTGGCTGGACAGCGTTGCAGACACCACCGTGCATGACCTTACCGTGCACCGCCGCACGCGCCACCACCACCACATCCCGCTCCTTCCCCACCCACACCACCACCATCACCACCAGTACAACCATTCCTACCATGGAGGCACGTCCCTTCACATCCCCTCGCCGTTCTTCTCCTCTACTTCAGCCTCTGGCCAGCACCACCACTCGCACTCTCACCAGCACCAGCACTCGCACCACGGGGTTTCTCACAGGATCTCCGAAACGCTGCACCACCTGCTGCCTCTGCACCTGCCCACAAGCCACTCCGCCAACAACCCCAACACCACCCCAGCGCACACACAGCAGCAGAACACCCCCTCCCACACGCGCACCAGCCACACAGAGTATCGTGTGGGGGGGTCGTACCACGGTGGGGGAACAGGGGGCGGCGGCGGCGGCGGGGGGTCGATGCGAGGGGGATCGCAGCACGGCTCATCCCACCATGGGGGATTTTTCCGCTCCATCCTGCCCCTCAGGTCCCCCTCCTCTGCCTCTGCCGGCGGTGGGTTTGGCCGCAGCGGCAGCGGCAGCGGCGGTGGTGGCACCACCAAGCTTGTCACACAGAGCTCTGGCGCTGGAGGTGCTGCTGCTGAGAGCCCACGGCTTGCCATTGAAGAAGATTCTGGTGCTGGTGCTGCTGGTGGTGGTGGTGTTGAGGGGTCGCATGGCAGTGCATCGGGGCGGGGAGCGCGCGTGAGCTTTGACGTGGGAGCAGAGCAAAGCGCAGACGCACGCATGCGGCGGCTGAGCGTGGACGTCACTCCAGGCAGCTCCCTGCGTGGAGGCATGGCGGGCGGGGTCACATTCGGGCCCTGGCCTGCAGGTATGGGCAGCAGCAGCACTGGTACTGCTATGGCTCCGAGTGGTTCTGAGGGTAGTGATGCAGATCGCTTGGGGGTGTCTGTGTCCCCCATGGGTTTGGCTAAGGTGGAAGAGGTAGGGTGGCAGTCGCCTAAGGAAGCAAAGCGGGGTGACGGTGAGGGGAAGGGCAAGGCAGGTGAGGCGGAGGAGGACGAGGGGGCGTTGCCAGCAGTGCGCAGGCCTGGGGGAGAGAGGAAGGTGAAGGGGGGAGGGGAGATTCTTCGTCTGCTCAAGGAGAAGTGATGATGATCCTTTCTTGTCTAGTAGTGTTCAGCGTAAAGACTGCATGTGGGTAGAGGTAGAGAATGACACTCATTCGTTTAGTTAATTCGATGTTGCACCTGAAACCTCTTACACAAGTGCTGTGAAAGGTATAGGAATTCCCAAGGTACCGTATTGGTGTTAAATATGCGTGCGTGGTTGAATGAGGCGAGTACAACATTATGCAGCTCTCAAAACAAGTGCCCAAGAATGCCAAAACGCATAGTTGTGCAATATGGTAGGTATGTGAACCTTTATAGGAATAAATTCAACTTGCATGACCTCTGTAGTGTTATTAATGAGTAGCTGCTCATTCTCTCTGAGAGCAAAGGTCAGCATCATTCTAAATATGCTTCGGGTGTATCCAGAGGCATACTTCAGGGAGGACAAATTCCCCCGTCTTCCGTCTCGAGTTCATCCTCACCCTGATAGTTTCTAAGCCGACAAATCCCGATAATGTCGGAGCGTCACGCACTGAAGCATTGAGTTCCTGGCGGACACTTCCCGCCATTTCGAAACACGCGATTCCCGAAGAGTAACCAGACGAGTTTGCATCGTTAGCGTCTGTCTATCCTGTCGCAAATGCGATTCGCACACGATTAGGGCCCTTGCGACTCCCTACCGCCTTCACGGACGCAGATCCTCACGGGCAGCGGGGTCAGGGATGGCAAAGTTTTCGCGTCGCAACGCCATCCGGCTAAATCGCTTAGCCAACAGGTTGGACCATCCGCACCGTCTGGATAAGGCAACGCACCAGACTGCACCGCACTGTGACGTATCCCGAAGCCAAGGCCAGCGGCCTCGGAAATAGCTTTGTTCCCTTCCGCATTCCCGAGCCTGCCTGATGTGAGTTTCCAGTGCGAATCGCTTAGCAACTCCTTCCTGCATAATCGCTTAGCCAGCAGGTTTGTTTCGAGAGTACAAGCCTCACCGTCTGGTCAAGGCAGGCAACCGGACCGAACCGATCTGTCACATCTCCGGAGGCCTCGGCCAGAGGCTTGGCACTGCCTCGAATACAGCTTCCCAAGCCATCCCTGCCCGCCGCGTGAGTTCCCAGTGCGTCGCTTCTCCTCCACCCCGCCTTGTCGCAACAACCCTCTCGCTCTCCCTTCGTCGCCTGCGATCGCCTCTCCGAGTTCAAATCCGCACTCCCTCTACTCACCCTCATTCATCGCCTCTCTTCGGTTTAAACTCTCCAGCTGACCTTGATCGCCAGTTTCGTACTATCTCGTTACTCTCGAGCCAGCTCCCACAGCTGCAGCATTACTATCCTTGCCAGATCGGAACATCCTAAGCTTTCTGCTCTCTCCGGTACTTCTAGCTTTGCACCCGATTCTGCAACAGCAAGCAGTGTTCCCTCAAAATTCGTCTCTGCTAGTTCTACCGCTCGATTTCGGCCTTACACTTCGGCAGGCCCATCGGTATCGTCGAGCGTTCTTCCTCGGATGGCCGTCGCTTCCGTGCATGCATGCACCTCGTCGTCCGCTGAGTACCCGTCGTTCGCGGAAGTGCTGCGCGCCTGGAGGAGCCGCGAAGCGGTTAAGCCGTCCCGCGCGCAAGTTGAAGTGACGCTGAGCTCCGCGGCTGCATGCGCGGCGCCTTGTGAGCCAACTCTTGAAGTTGAAGCGACTCCCCACACGATCCCCTGTTAGAATCTAGCAGCAGGAATGTGTGAACTAGTGGCATGCAGGAGTACAAGTAGTAAACCCTAATTGGGTTGTACTCCATATGGGCTACCCCACTACAGCCTAGACAATATGCAGCATACATGTTTGACACACCCCCATAGGCAAAGTGGGGGAGAACAAGGGGTCAAACGACCAGTCAAGAGAAGCAAAGCAAGCTCAGGGTGGATCTCAACGTCACCACACATTCTGAGCACAAGCAAAGGGCCACAAGGCCAGTCCACATGCAGAGATATATATGCAACAATAACAGTACAGTGATGACTACCTAGCAAGAGCAGGCATGCATGTATATATATAGATCACAGTACAAGCAGAGACTACAGCAAGTGTGGAAACGTAGGCACAAGGCCTAACAGGGTACAAAAGCGCTGATGATCACCAGACGGAAGTGCCTTGGTGAATATATCAGCAGTGTTGGCCCGAGTGGCCACGTGACGAAGACGAAGCTGGCCTCGCTGCTGCAACTCTCGAGCCAGAAAGTAACGCAGAGCAATGTGCTTTGTTCTGTGCTCCAGTCTGTGCTCCTCACACAAGGCAATGGCGGCCTTGTTGTCGACGTACAGCACTGGAGGAGAACGAGGCTGCTCTCCCAAGTCAGTCAGCAGGTAGGTGAGCCAGCGTAACTCCTGTGCAGCCATGGCTGTGGCGTAGATCTCAGCCTCACAACTGGAGCTGAGAACTGAAGACGAGCGTGTAGAACGCCACGAAACTGAACCAGAGCCAAGGCTGAAGGTGTAACCCTGCGACGACCGCTGAGTAGCCAGGTCGTCAACCCAAGAAGCGTCTGAGTGCCCAGTGAGGACAACTGGGCTCGTCCCTCCAAGCACTAGCCCCATGCCTGATGTGCTGCACAAGTAGCGCAGTACCCTCTTAGCAGCAGCCATGTGCTCAGGTCGGTGCCGACCAGGAGCCATGTAGCGAGCCAGAAGACCAAGAGGGTACGCGAGGTCAGGTCGAGTGCAAGTCATCAGGTACATGAGGCAGCCGACTAGCTCTGGGTAAGGACCACTCGGCTCTACGGACTCGTCCGAAGGTGGAGCTGAGAGCGAGTGACCTGTAGCCAGAGGAGTGGCCTGTGCTGAAGACCAGGTGAAGCCGAAGCGCTGAAGGACCTGCTGCACCATGTGTGACTGAGTCAGGGTGATGGTGCGGCGTGCTCTGTCCCGTGTGATCTGCAAGCCAAGGTAGCTGCGCAGCTCACCCAAGTCTGTGCACGTGTGTCTCTTCTGCAGCTCTGACTTCACGTGGGCGAGAGCCTCAGTGTCAGCAGTGGCAAATACCAAGTCGTCGACGTACACGAGGATGTAGAACGGCGGCAGTGAAGTGTCGGTGCGCAGAAACAGCGACGGGTCAGCAGTAGAAGGCGCGAACCCAAGAGCCGCAAGCGTAGTCCTCAGTGTGTCGTGCCACTCACGTGGCGCCTGGCGGAGACCGTAGACCGGCCGCCGGAGGCTCCACTGGGTGCCAGGAGGGAACGACCCAGTGAAGCCCGGGGGGCGGCGCAGCCAGATCTCCTCGTGCAGGCTGCCCTGCAAGAAAGCTGTGCTGAAGTCAAGAGAGTGAAGCTCGTAGTCACGGTGAGCAGCAACATGCAGCAGCACCCGAAGAGTGGTCATCTTCGGGGTGGGGGAGAAGGTCTGGAAGAAGTCAACTCCCTCTCGCTGACTGAAGCCTCGAGCTACGTAACGCGCCTTGAAGACAGGCGGAGAACCCCGCGGCCGCTTCACCCTGAAAATCCACATGCCACTGACGATGTTCGCCCCAGGTGGGGGAACCTCGTCAACGTAGGTGCCTGTGGACTTCCAGGAAGCCATCTCTGCGTCCATGGCTGCCTGCCACTGAGAGGAGTAGGGACCCTCTATCGCCTCTGCGTAAGAGCGCGGAGTCGGGATGTCTGGTGCATCCGGGTCTCCCTCAGGGGCAAGTAGCGAGGACACAAGATGAGGTAAAGCAGCAGCAAGACACTGGAACTCCTCCTGCCTGTCCTCAAGGACGTCCGTGCTAAGAGCACACTCACCCCCGACGGACGGAGGACAGACAGACTCAGACTCAGACGCAGCTGCACCAGTACCAGCAGCTCCAGCAGCTCCAGTGCCTCCAGCAGCTCCAGTACCTCCAGCAGCTCCAGTACCTCCAGCAGCTCCAGAAGCTCCAGGCCCAGAGCCGACACCTCGAGTCCCAAGGTCTCCAACCTCAGTGTCTCCAGCAGCAGCACCCCTAGAACCAGCACCTCCAGTCCCAGGGTCTCCAACCTCAGGGTCGCCAGCAGTAGCCCCTCCAGAACCAGCAACTCCAGCACCTCCAGTAGACAAAGGACCAGCACGACTCCGAGCTCCAGCAGCGCGACGCTGACAGCGACCGTACCAGTCCTGCAGCTGCTGTGGGGTGAGAGGCACACGTGGACGAAGGCGGCCACTCCAAGGAGACCGCGCAACAGCAGACTCAGAACCCTCAGCGCCCGCACCCCCAACGGCTCCAGAACCTCCGGTGTCAGTACCCTCAGCACCAGTACCTCCAGCGGCTCCAGAACCTCCAGCGCTAGCACCCTCAGCAGCTCCAGAACCTCCAGCTCCAGCGTCACCAGTACTAGGCCCTCCAGCAGCTCCCGAACCTCCAGCGCCAGCACCCTCAGTAGCTCCAGAACCTCCAGCGTCAGTACCGCCAAGCTCAGCACCCCCAGACCCCTCACACTCAGGCTCAGCACCACCAGGCTCTACACCCTCAAGCTCCGCACCCGCAGGCTCAGTACCCCCAGGCTCCGCACCCCTAGGCTCAGCACCCCCAGAAGTAGCACCCCGAGCAGGACCACTCTCAGTAGGACCTGAGTCACCAGTGACCTCAACCGGCGCAGTCAAGGGAGGAGGGTCTACCTGAGAAACACCTGAAGGAGCAGGACCGGGAGCGGGGAGGGGGTCTACCTGGGGAGCACCTGGAGCGAGGAAGAGCGGCGGGGGGGGGGGAGCGAGGCAGTGCGGTAGGGGAAGAGACGGTAAAAGGGAACCGACTCGTCGAACGTGACGTCCTGAGACGCAAAGACACGGCGCGAGGTGGGGTGGTAAAACTGCCAACCAGGCGCGTCAGGGACAAAGCCAAGGAAGACACAGGGAACAGCGCGGGCGGAGAGCTTGTCTGCGGTGGTATCGCGGACAAAGGCACGAGCACCCCAGACCCGGAAACGCGACGCATCGCCAACCTTCCCCGTCCACATCAGTGTGGGCGAGGTCTCCGGCAAGGAGACACGGGGCCAGAGGTTGAGCTGATGCGCGGCGTACCGGACCGCAAACGGCCACAGAA